AGTAGATTTCTTCTTTCATTTCACTTGAAAGACCCATACCGCCGCTCTAGATGCAATACTCTGAAAATCCGAAAGATTTCACTAATGGGCCATTAATCACTTGTTCAAATAGAACAGAATAGAACGACTTTGAGTACACTCTTTCTTCTCGTATAAGGAAAAATCCCACACATTGCTAATCCTTATATACACACAGATCGGAGGAGTTACGTACATACATCAGAAACACTCAGAGAGGCAAGAACAACAAATACCTGAAAATATGTCACATTTTTTCGTTAAAACGGAAATTTATAACTGCCCCAGCGAGGGGGGCCTGCGAGTAAGTAACAGTATTACAACACCTTGACAGACGCTAAACTCTATATTTGTCGACAAATACCCCCCCGTACCGTATCGCACCGTACCGTATATGGCGGGTAGAAGGGGGTTGGACACGTTAGCCGTTCGACGTCCGACCATATCCGTGCAAAGCAATCTTGTCAGTATATTACGTTAATGACAAATTGACGGCACCGGGCCCGGTGCTCTTTGATGTGTTTTGTGTTTGATTGTTTTGGTTCTAATCATCGCCGACTGCCGCCTAGGTAGTACCCACGTACTGGGGGGACACGTACTTGGGGCTCTCTCCGTGGAACGGGGTACCAGAAGGTACTCTTTTTTTGGAATGGGGAGGAGCTATGGGTTGGAGTGTTGTGCTTGCAAATGATTTCGTTTTAATTTAACCGCGTCGTCAATTAGCTTCGAAGCTTGGGGAGTACTACCAGTGCCATGGAGGCAGAGAGTAATGGCTATCCATGGAACTTATGGAGCTTATCGGGTTTCCGAAAAGTCATATAACCCTCCTACAGTTGGGAGGGATGATGGTTGGGTTGGGAGGGGAGGGAGATAAGCCCATACCATACCATTATCTGGTGCGAACATTCTCTCTCACCGTTCGCTCTCTAAGTTCTGTTGGATGGGTTCTGTTGTGGGCTCTGTTGCCGTTTCTGTTTGATGATTATGTGTAGTACACAACTCGATGCGGCGACTGCTCCGTGCTACGTGCCGCGAACTTGTCAAACAAGCCCTGTGCAAACACTCAGAGAGGGAGAGAGTGGCAGACGTTCTCTAGAGAGAGAGTGCAGACGAACGGATGATTGCACTGATGATTGTCAATTATACGAGTACTCTAGGGCGTACAACAACTCTAAATATATGTACGATTATAGCTCGTATACGTACGTATACGTATATATAGCATTTGTTTGCATTTGCGCCTGCCTGCAATAAAATCCAACAACCGACAAACGGTGCAACATCAAGGCGCAAGGGCATATTTGTGTGTGTGTGTGGATTGTGGGGTATGGATATGCCATGCGTCAGTACTCTGCCGCAACGTGAGAGCTAACTCCCAACTCTGTTTGGGGCCTGCCTGCCCAGCCGTCGGCAAAAGTGTCCCATCCAATAAAATCTAATAACCACTTGGGACGCAATTCCTCCTCAGTCCTCAGTCCTCAGTCCTCTGGCTGTCCGCTGTGGGGAGTGCGAGTGCGGCTTCTCCATAGACCCGATGCGATGCGAGATAAGCAAGCTCTATCTATTCACTTGCACGATTTTCGGCAGCTTTTCTTCTGTATGATGACATTGGCACAAAGACCTCTTCGCTGGCAGCAGCAGTCTTGGCGTTTCCAGAAATTGAGTTTTCCATGGTTTATGATCTTGCGGCGGCTGACGAGGGCTTTGAAGCGTGACGGAGCCTAGAATTGGGGATGGGGACACTGCATTCCTAGAGAGAGCTGTGATGACTGAATGGGTGCTTTTTTTTTCAGGGGAGAATTCGGATAATAGGGAGAGGAAAACTATAGAATACTTTCCAGGCAATTGGAAGGACAGGAAGTGGTTGAAGATAGAGAATACTTTCGATGTATCCAATACACATCTATCGTAAACCTTTCTCCTATTTTAACTCCCTCACATCTCTGTCCTCTATTCGACACTCAACCTCACTTCACCTCTTAGCTAAATCTCTCAATGGCTCCTCCAAGAGGCAACAAATATGTCTGCAAAACCTTTACGATATGGCACCTAATTAGGCAGAAGAACGCCACAGAAATTTACGCTCCGCCAGAGGATGGTCCGACCCAGAACTTTGGGACGCCGGCGGCTGCATGGATGGATGGGATGGATGGGATGGATGGATGGGCGATCTACTCGTGTACGGGGCATGCATCAGCGCTGTGCAAACATGGATTCGTTCCCATTGAGGTGCCGATAACCCGCTCCGAGTTATTGGTTGGGGCATACATCAAATCATAAAGCAAATGGTGCCGACAACTAACTGGCCAGAGTGCCGAAATGGCCAAATAACCCGAAGGCAACAACCAACCGACAGCCATGACATTTACATTCACATTCACCCCAAAAACAAGAAAGAAAGAAAGAAAGACACAAAATAAAGAAGAAAAGAAAATCAACGACCAAACAACCGGCGACAACGAGAACGTTCCGCTTTTTGCTTTGCTTTGCTTTGCGTTGCGTTGCGTTGGTTCCGGGAAACGCAACAAAATATTTCTCTCTCTCTCGCTCTCTTTTGCCAACAAACACCTTGACCAAAGATCCCCAATGGGATTCCGACTTCAAAGAATCTCGGAACTGCAGAGCTTCAGAGCCCCAGAGCTGGCTGCCACGCCTCGACACTAGACAACTACATTGTTGGGTGTTTGGTTGTTTGGTTGTTTGGTTGTTGTTCTCCTTCCTGTAAGTGTTGCAGATCGAAGCGGCTGTCGACTGTCGGGTGTTGTTGCTGCTGATGGGCTTATTAGAGTTAGTCAGCTTTTCGGTGCCTCAAAGCGAATTTAGTGCGGAGCCCCCTTCCCCCCTCCCCCACCCAAAAAAAAAACAACCGAAAACGAACAAACCCCATACCGAAAACCGAACCGCGGGACCATCTACGGGCTGTCCCTTTGGTTTTATGACGACAATGCGTTTGCTGTCATAATTATTAGTCAAACACAAACAATGAATTTCATAATTTTCCCATCAATACGAGTCCGCTGAAAATGTTGCCTCGAAAGCGTTTAAACATCCGCCTCGCCCGCACGCGCCGCCCTGACAGAGAGGAGCAAGGCAGGAAGAAGGAGGTCGGAGGATGGAGGATGGAGGACGGAGGACGTCGGACGTCAGACTAGTCTCTAGAGTGGACGCACTGCGCACTCTCCCTGTGGAAATGAAGCCGTCGCGCATAAAGTGTGAAATTGCTGGCAATTCGCAGAGACGCTCCATTCTGGCTTTCGACTTTAGAGACTCTGCTCTGCTCATCTCTGAAACTCTGTTTAAGGCCCAACCTAATGGGTAGATGTAGATGTTTCTCCTCCTCCATTGAATAGAACAATATCCGCGCAAATATTTGCAGAGAGCAGCAGGCAGATCGTGTTGAAAATGTTGAACGTACTATGGGCTCTAGGTCTTGGTCTTGGTCTTGGTCTCTTCGCTTACCATAATTGTTGTTTGATCGTTGTAATTGGTTTGGCTGTAGCTGTAGCTGTAGCTGGAGCACAGGAAATGCAGCAGTGCAGCAGAGACAACATTGCAGGCGGCTTTACATTGATCCGTTTAACGATTGACAAACGTGGCCTTAAAAGAAGAACGGAACGAGGTCTGGAAAGGGGGGCTGGACTCTGAAAGTGGAACTGGACCTGCGACTGCGACTGCGACTCCGACTGGACCCCGGGTCGGCGTTTTGCTTTTGAACTGTTGTATGTGTCGTTATGGCCGCATCTTTTTGTAGTCGATAATAAAAATTGTAAACTTTGTGGCAGTCCGAACGGATGGCCGGACGACCATCTGTCTCGATGGTTGGTGCTGTTGCTGTTGCTGGAGCTCCACCCTTGTTCTTGGCCGGACAGCCCACTTTTTGCTATAAAATTTCCAAAGACTTTTAACGGACACACCTAACAGTGTAGGGATATACGAGTACTCCATGGGAAATTGTGTTCTCCTCTCCAGATAGGATCTCCATCGGTATAGGGACAGGAATCGTGGGTGGTCAAATCAGTTGATAGCGCCTGCCCTACATGCTTGTCGCTCGCCTTGTTCAACATTGTTTGACTTAAGACCGAGATAATGACAATGAATGGAAAAAAAGGAAGGTAACCAGGAGAGTGGTACCAAAGTATCCTCCCACACCGATAGACACACATAGCTGGTGCTCCCCTCCATCCTCAAACTGGTGAAAAACTGGTGGGAAAAGTAGTCATCGACGACGCGTCGCATTGTCTCGCCCTGGTTGTTGGTTGTCATTCTTGTTTGATGTCGTTGTCGTTGTCGTTTGTTGTCAAAGGCTTGTTGTGTGGAGATCGGTACGAGTATACGGTGTTCAGTGTTCGGTGTTTGGTGTTCGGTGTTTGGTGTTCGGTGTACACCTTTAATGGTACATTAATTGCCCTTGTTGGCACTTGAGTGATAAACATCGGTACAAATATTTGATTTTAGTTTTCTACAAGTGGGTAAATAGTGTAGCTACAACAGAGGAATCATAAGAGGAGTCCGTCCAATGAAGTGCGTTTGGAGTAGGAATAGGAATAGGAATACTTAGGAGTTGCAGTATGGGTATGGGTGGGTAAACCATGAGAATTTTCCAACTAAATTTCAAGGAATTTCTCATTTTCGATTCAGAGAACTTTCCAGATTGAAGTGGAACAGTTTTACGCACCGAAAGGATGTTATCGGTATCTGAAAAAAGAATTTTGAACAGCCCGTAAGGAAGACTGTGAGATCTTATGGGGTTTTATACAGACCATGAAATTGTTTCAAATTTATCCATTTCAGGACTTTTTCTTGTTGTATCCTTCAATTCCCTTATTCGTATATAGTCTGGAAAGAGCAATCTTCCTTCAATAACATCATTATTACATCATTCAATGCAAACTCTGAGAAGTTTAGTTGCAGATCCATAAAAAAAAATAAACCATTCCTTGTAATTTTACTTTTCATCTATTATCATTTATTCGATTGTACAATAAGAGTTCACAATTTCGCTTAAGCACTAGACATATAGTAATAGTATCGATATCGAGTAGTTCCTTATAAAGTCAAACTTTGCTGCTAAGCTTACGTCACAAATATCCGTGGCTTAAACCTGTCTTACGGCTAAACTAACTGTAAGTTAAATGCTGTTAGCTGTGGGGGGACTTCGTGGAGGGACTCGTGTGTCATGAGAGCTGCAAATGAGATTATCTTAAAAGTGAGTGGGATATGCTCTGAGAGTGGAGTTGGATCAATCGCTGACGGCCACCAGATCCCTTGATGAGGAGGAGGAAGTGGCTGAGGAGCCGCCCGCTGCGCCAACCAAAGGTAGAGCCAGACCCATACCCAGATCGGAACTAGAGCTGGAGCCAAGGGGGCCGGGGCCGGGGCCGAATAGATCACTCAGATTGCCACCCACACCGCCCGTGGCGGAGAGATTGTGGGTGAGACTGTGCCGCCGGAGATCGCAGTTGCGGCGAAAGACCTTGCCGCAGGAGGCGCAGTTGTAGGGTTTGATATCCGTGTGGGTGAGGAGGTGGGTCTTCAGGTTGGAGCGCTGGTTGAACGATCTGTTGCACACGGGGCACTTGTGCGGCGACTCCTCCATGTGCAGGATCTTGTGGACGGCCAGAGTGCGGGACTGACAGAACCCCTTGCCACATTCGGCGCACTTGAAGGGCTTCTCTTTCGAGTGGATGTATCTGTGAGGGCGAAAGAGATTCAAAGATGGGAATAGATGCTAAAGCTGGATGTTTTCCCCTATACTTGTATTCTAGCAGTGGACATGGTGTACCTACCTATGGTCCCTTAGATGATCTTGCCGCCTGAAGGCCTTGCCACAGATATCACACGAATAGGGTCGCTCGTCTGTGTGGGTCCGTTCATGGATCAGTAGGTTGTACGACTTGGTGAACTGTCGATTGCAGAACTTGCAGATGAACTGCTTCTTGGATCGCTGTGCGGCCGCTGCTGCCGCTGCCGTGGAGCTGGCCCCCTCCTCCACGGCCCCACCTCCGGCCATCGATCCTCCCCCCATCACACTCATCTTGTCCTGGTACATGGTGGCCTGTAGGGAGTGCAGCGAGGTGTCCGCTTCCGCCTGGCCAAAGGTCGTGGGATTGAAGATGAAGCTGCCATAGCTGCTGTCGAGATCCCCGGCCTCGAAGGACAGCGCATCCTCTCCATCAAGCAGGGGCAGATCGCACTCGGCGGCCAGCTCTGCGGCTGTTGCACAGTCGAGGGCCGCTTGTTGATTGGCCGCGGCCGCAGCGGCGGCAGCAGCTGCTGCCACAGCAGCACTCACAGTTCCAATCGAAGGCAGTGGCAGGCACTTGGTGGCACATGAAGTGTGGCTGTTGCTGCTGCTATTGTTGTTGTTGTTAGAGGTGCTGTTGCTGCCACTGCCGGGGGAGGAGGAGGAGGTGTTGCCGGTTGCGGCTGCATTGCTGGGCGGAACAGCAGACCCCACTGAGGAGCTCGATGAGCAGCTTGACTTGAGCTCAATGCTGGCGATGTCTATGAGACTCGGAAGAGTGCTGCTGCTGCTGGTCTCTGCCTCGTTGTGGCAGCTGCTGCTGCCAATGCTGCTGCTGTTGCTGCTCCCAGCCCCAGTGTTGTTGTTGCTGTTCTGATTGTTGCTGAATCGAAAGACATCCGATTTGCCGGTGAGCCGCTGCAGGGCCAAGTAGGATTCTAGAGCCTGGAGATTGAGGGCTGCCGCCGCCGCGGAATTGGCCGGAAGGAGGGCCGCCTGCTGAAGGCTGCTCACCATCGTGCCCTGTAAAGAGAGCACCACTGCAGCCGCCGCTGCAAGGTCATTGGTGGCCGCCGCGGCTGTGGCAGCGGTGGCAGCCGCCATTGCGGCATTGCTGGATTTTGTGGCAGGCGCAGATTTGTTGGGGCTGGAATTGCTGTGGCTTTTGTCGGATTTGTTGTTGGAGTCTTTCCCAGTCGTGGGGGATTCCTTGGGGCAGCCACTGTGTCCCTTGGATGTGGCTGTGGCCGTGGCACTGCCCTCTAGTTCCACCAATTCATTGACTGCCGCCTCCACAGATGTTGCACTGCTCTCCTGCATATCGCTGTTGCAGCTCTTCTCTGCTGCCGCAGCAGCAGCGGCAGCAGCAGCACTCAAATGCTTAACTGCATCCATAAAAAAGTCGAATCCACGCACACACACAGCTGGATATCGGTGGAGTCTGTGCCCCGTGGGCTTCTTGCTGTTGCTGCAAAAAGATGCAACCCTTTTTTTTATTGTTTGGCGCACCTACGCAGGTTCCTCGGAGCTGGGGCTGCAGATGGAGATGGAGATCGGATCGGTGCTGGAGCTGGAGCTGGGGAAGAGCGCGCGCGTCCACATGAATATTAAAAACCACACGCCATCATAAATCACGTCTTAGTCACGCTTTCAAAAGTCATAAAAATCGAATTTGACGTTGGCCAACCACAGCAACAAAAAAAACAGCCCAAAATGCACAGAGTCTGTCTTCTGGGGGCCAGTTTTTTTAGCCGGGCCAAGAGCATGCAGGTCGACGAGGAGGCAGCAACAAATTGGCGGTAGACACAGGCACGCTTTCGGACTGATGGAATGATGCTTGAATGCTGGAGACTGGAGACTGGCACACGCGTTAATTCATAGGTGATTTGCCACCAGAGCAGATAGGAAGAGAGAGTAGTAGGTGGGTGGGTGGTTGGGTGGCTGGGTAGTTGGTTTGTTATCGTTTACTAGCCGGCTTCCGTTTTCTTTTTTTGGGCACTACACTTCCGCAATTTCCGATACGCACACGGATCTAACTCGATTTTTGTTTGCTTTGATTGTTGGTTCTCTTCTTTATCCGCTCTTCTTCTTCTTTTGCGTCTTCCTTATCTGTTTCTGTTTCTTCTTTTTCTTTTTCTGCTTCTGTTTCTTTCTGGCCGTCTGATCAACCGTCGCTGCACACAATATTGGTAAAAGATCTCGGAATAACTAAAAGTCCATTGCTCTGCGGACGGTGCGCGGACCTGCGCTCACTTGTTGATCCGTGGCTCTCACCAACACTGAGGCATCAGACACAAGAGAGACAGAGCGAATGAGAGAGTTCTGGAGAGGATCGAGCCAGAGAGAGCGACGCGTCCCAGCTGCGATTGTGGCGTAGAAAGAGAACAGCGATCAGTGAGAGAGTAGGAGAGAGCCAAAAGCCAGGTGCAAACACGTTTATTCATCTCTTGAGCACCTTTAAGAGAGAGAGAGAAAGAGAGAGTGAGAGACCTCTCTACGATCGTTTGCAAAACCGGTTTTGTGGCGCCTTTGTGGTTAATTTTTTGAGTGGGTGTTATTTCCCAATTGCCATGGGAGGGAGTTGTCTTCTGCGCTCTCAATCTTTTTCTCTCTCTCTCACTGTACATCTCTCTCTTTCGCTCTACATGCAGCAATCTCCCTCAATCTAGGTTGACTATTTACCTTTATGTTTATTATTTTTTGCAGCAATTGTTTATGACTTTTCCTATGAATTTAACACTTTTTTTTTCTTATTGCGAATTTTTTGTTGGTTAAAAATATTATTTTAGTGCCAAAATTCAGGAAGATTACTATTTAGATTGTGATGGAAAAGATGATTTCGATTTAGAGAATCACTTCTGGAATTTTCCTTAAAAAAAGTCGAAATATTATTTCTACATCTTTAAAAGTGGTTTTGATCGTGAAAAACAGAATATAACATGAAGAGTTTTCAGCAATGATCCCCTCTAGCTTCAATTCCAACGAAAAAACAAATGTTCGGCGTTTATAAAAGGGACACCAAAGGATTGCGATCGCTAGATAAAAGAAAAACCAGCTGTATTCTATACAAAAATTGAGGTAAATGAATTCTGGGAAACAAATATGGAACAATAAAATAATAGCCTTTTTCGAAATTAAGGACCTTAAGAGCTGTTCTTCCATCTTTACCGATGTTTAACTCCTTGACATTAATCCACCACTCTCCACCGATCTTCAATTATTCAGAGTTATCCAAATTCTCGTTCTAGCGATCTTCAACTGCCCGAAATATTCCCCTCAGTGTACCATGAAGTACCTGAGTTGCACTTGCAAATTGTGGCCATTAGTCAAAGCGTTGATTTCTGTTGCCCCAGGCCGAGCCCCTTCCACCTTCCAGCATACTACCATAACAATTTTGACTGCCGCCCCATCTCCATCTGCAGTTGATTGAAATGATTTTGCTCGCACGCCATCCCATGGAGATGGAGAAGAGGAATTCTCGTAAAACACACGCCCCACAGAATGGCAATCCCCAATCCCGATCCCCAATCCCAATCACAATTCGAAGCACAATCCTCAGCGTTGCCATCCGCGTACCAACTGCAATCATAGGCCACAAGTGCAGTCTGAAACCTGGCTCTATAGACCAACATTTCAACTGTCAATTATTTCTTTATGCATAAAACTTGAGACAGAACGAAACGGTACGGAACGGGACGGGACAGGCTGCATTTTAATGCGCTAAACGGCGCAAGTAAATGACCAATAATCATGGGAGCTGCTGCCAGCTTCGGCTGCCGGTTGGTCAGCATCCAACATCCAGCATGCAGCATGCAGCATGCAGCAACAGCTCCAACTTCAACTCCATCTCCATCTCAGGAACCGAGTGCAGTCCAGGCCGAGTGCAATTTATTTCTACATTAAATTGCAATTTGGCCAAGACTCAGACTCTGTTGGCTGTGGCTGTGGCTGTGTGCACAGTTTTCTACCATTTATACAGATATTATCATGATTAATAATGCTCGAACATGTCATATGCTCGTTTCGTGTGTGTTTGATTGGAGCGCATTAGGATCGCAGTTCATAATGATCCGAATCAGAGTCGGTGTCTGGCACTGGCTCTGGCTGTGGCTCTCACTGGAATCTCACGGTAGCAATTATGTCGCTTAGTGCCCATCAAAACGATGATGATCTTCATGAGCTTATGCCCTGATCTCTACCTCTGCATTGTCCTGGCGCATCGGCACCGTCGTCGGCGGCGCCATCAAAAGATCTTGCCATCGCGATTGCACATTCCAAGGTAAACTCCATCGTATTGACACAAGCTTCCTTTAAATTCGTCGTTATATTTCGATAGTCTCGCGCTTTTAAATGCTCGTTTCCTGTGCCGCCTTGAGTCCCAAGATCCAAGATCCAAGACCCAAGCCTCGTCAGGGACACGATCAATGATTGCCAGGAAAACCAAGTCCCAGTCCAAGTCCCAGTCGCAGTCGAACGATCCGCGTTGTCTGTCTCTCAAGGCAAATGGTACATGATTTCAAATTTCAAGTACCAGTTTACATAAAGATCGCACAGGGCTAAGGCTAGCTTCAAAACCAGTCCCCGTCCCCGTCCCACCCCGTTCACCTTTTGGGCCGTTCTGGGCGAGGCGAGGGAATTGCCTTAAGGCCTTACAACCATCTGTCACAAGGTCCACATCCAGCAGATCCCAGCAGATCCAGGCAGAGATCCCAGCGAGCATTGAGATCGGCAATAAGAATGCGCTAAACTTGATTCCTGCGCCTTCGCGAGTGAAGTCGCGAAGTGAGCGCCGAGTGCGCGCATGCGTGGGCTGGAATTACATGATCACGATCAGCGATAAAACTTGATGTTGTACATAGCCTGCAACATGGGTGCAAGAGACACACAGAGAGAGACAGAAGGAGAGAGAGAGAGAGACCCATCCCATCCCAATCCCAGAGCTTCATATGGCTCTGGCCCCCAAACAAAATGTCGCAAAAGTTGTACAAATCTCCCCGATCCTCTATCCTCTTCTGTTGGAACAACGGGACACCGACAAACGATCGCAGCTGAGGATCTTGGTGCCTCGATCATGGTCTTGGACTTGGCTCCAAGTCGTGTCAAATTATTGATTGCTGTCTTTTAATTTGATTTTGATTTTTCCACCGACTCCACCGCCAGCCACAACACCACGCTTTCGTTCTCGTTCCTGTCATCTTTCCGATCGACAGTACAGACGAGGGAAATATTATTAATCTGCTGCTTTGATTTGAAGCGACACACCACACGATCGTGACAAAGAAAAGTAAAAGTCATAACACACATCTATGCCCCGCCGATAAGAGATCTCCAAGATCACCCGCTTAACACTGATCATCTGGGCAGGACAGGGGCAGGGTCTCTAGGTCTGCCTTGGGTCCATTGTCTTCGAATGACTTTTTATAGGAACTCGGAGGTACACGGAGTAATTATCAGGGGCGTACGTTCGGTGGTTTCTTTGGACTTCTTTTTGGGATTCCAGAGAACAGCAGACGGCAGCAGAGGCAGAGTGCCTCTCATTAGCCGCAGGCGTTGCCGCTGATTGGACCAACTAATCCCTGACGCCAGCCGTCAAGATTAGGCGTTCGTTTTCGATTTCTGTTGAAAAAAAGTCAGGCGGTCGTACCCCTCTATATTTGTGGCCGGCCAACAATTAGATGCTGGGGACTGGACTGCTGCTTTTTATTCCACTTTTTGACGCAGATCTCTTATCGTTTTTCGTGTTCAATTCCTGGGGAGGAATTGACATATCTTTTTTGGTAATTTGATCTATTGAAAAGACCTCGCCGCGATCTCTGTTGCTGCTGCTGCGGCTGCTGCTGTCCCGAAGGTTGACAAACAATGGTAGAGAAATCATAATTACAATGGATTAGGGAATATTAATATTTCCTTTTCATCTTTGCCGTATACTCATACGAGTACAGTTGTATGGGTATTTCTTCTTGTTTTTCGGGGTACTTGAAATCTTCGATACTTGTATTGTATTTGTGTGCTGTTGTTGAGGTTGTTTTATATATTGACATAGTTCCTGAGAGGTGATCTTGAGGCAAACAACAAATGAGTTGGCGCATGGACAAAGATCATCTGCAAATATGTGTGGTTAGGGCAGGAGGAAAAAAAGAAAGAAACAGATTGTAAAGAGAACAGACGAGAGAGAATGTGGCATAAACTGGGATAATCATTTTGGGAGGGTCTTTAATTAGGGTTACCTGCTAGTTTCGTGTTGAGTTAGTGTTCGAATTTGAGGCCATTTCAAAGATTGTATGTTTGAGATGCAAACGTTTATTTGTCGTTGTAATGGGTATAACGGTCCTTTATTCTATGGGGTAAAAAAAATGTGCCAGAAATTTCAATGGCGCCACACATCTCTCTTGAAGAACCCCAAGTCGATCAGAAATGCTTGCCAATTTCGGGATGTGTTTCAGCCACGTCCAAAGTGATTATGCATCACACTCTATCAGGGCCGAATCCGAATCCAGAGCCTTTCCCACACCCAATACCGACCGAACCGAGCACAATCCCAGAACAGTGTGAATGGGAAATGTTTCTCCCCCGAACACACACATTCCATGAATGATTTGCATGCCTCGTAAGCGACAGAGCAGAGCAGAGCAGAGCCGATCCGATCCGAACCAAAACCGAAGAACGGACGACAATCAAATCGAAACCATCTGGTCGAAGGCCTCCTCCGTGGGAATCAGTTCAATATAATTTGCATGCACAAATAAGTCGAGAGTGTGGTTCGGTTCGACTCTCGATTGGGTCGAGGGTCGAATGGGGCTCTGTTTGTCAATTAATTGCAACAAACGGAGTAAAAATCGTAATGCAGCCGAATACTCCAACTCGTACCAAATTGTTGCAATTTTCTCGCGGCCTGTCGCGCCCCCGCCCCTGCCCCCACATCCACGTCCCTCAGAAGTCCGAAGGAAGTCGAAGAAGTAGTAAAAGACAGACGGACGACTGCCGAATTATTGAGTGACTGTCCGAGTGACTGTCCGTTGAATGGACTCCCCCCAAACCCAAAACCGAGACCTGAGTGACGGCCGATGCCTTTCCGTCTTGCATCGCTGAATTGGT